AGATTCTGTTCACCCGAAATCAAAAGGCTAGCTTACACAACCCTGGTTTTGTTCCAACTAGAATACGCATAATCCATTTGGTCACGATTTTTAAATTCTCTCTAACGAACTAGAAAAAGATTCAAAACAGAGCACTATGGTACCTGTACTCCGACTACTCTTCCTATAGCAGTATCACTTCACTTCCTAATCGGGCTGGTCTCCAAACGCTTTCTTTACGTCGAAGGCTCTCCCGATTTGCCCTCCCTCATAAAATATATTATCCCAATCCGGAGATGAAAATCATCCTTCTCAGCGTCCCAGATCGAGTATCCGCGAGGGTTTAGACTGTGTGTAAAATCAAATTTATCCACACTTCATTATTTTTTTTCTCGCAAATTTCATGCTACCTCTTGTCACTGACGATTGGAATTTATTACCCAACTGCACTGTAATAAAAATTAACGCCTCAATGTTTTGTGAACTTCTCAGTGTTTTCTTGTATCAAATGCAGGAGCTATAAAATTGTATAGTGATTTGTTAAGTTGTTGTTATCGCCATTTAACAATTGTACTACACTGTAATTGTACCATGTTTTTTCTTCCTCTTTCTTTTTTTTTTCCTTCTGTGTTTAAACAGTGTCTTCTTACTCTCCCTTGTGTAATACCTCGAAACGGGTCCTCAAGGTAAATAAATGAAATACATAAAATTAAATATATTTATTTGTACTTCCGCAACGCCCAGCTATTGAAAACACAATGTTCCTCTGGGAAACTGATACTTTTGTTGTGTTTCTAACGATTAAAATCTAACATAAACAAAGAAGTAATAAAAATATCCACAAGTGACAAACGGTTTCCCTATAGCGCGCTGAAGCTTGTTTAGAAATAAATACCTGTCAGTTGGCGCCGAAGCCCCAATATCTGTGAAAAGTTTCTTCCAGACAGCGCGTGATCTGTGTTCGAAAATGAGGTAATACGTATAGTAGATGATTGTGGAAGTGGGATCGATTAGTTTCTATTAGATGATCATATGGCCTTGTTTCCACGCTTTTAATCCCTCTCCTTATAAGCAGTACATGAAGAACACTACAGGAACAGGCGAGAGCACTTGCCTCTTTGTGCGATAACAATTTAATTACAGCTTTTGTTGGCAAACATATGCACGCAATTTAATTGATTGTTTGGTTCCTACAGTACAGCCCAATTGTTTATACGTATCAATTAAGATTTATCTTACTTTCAAAAAAAGTGAAAGCCGTTTACAAATCCCTGTAACGCCAAAATGGAGCGCAGCTCTTGAGGAGGAGGAGTGAAGGGTACTGAGGGGAGGGTAGACCCCTCCTCCTTCTCCTCCTCCTCCCCTCATTCTTTAATATGCTCCGGGGGGGGGGGGGTCACGTGACCTCGGGGGGGGGGGGGTGTCATGTGACTTCGAGGAGGGGGGGTCACGTGACCTGGAGGGGTCACGTGACCTCAGAGGGGTCACGTGACCTGGGGGGTCATGTGGGGGTCACCTTGGGGTCACGTTACCTTGAGATGACCTTGGGGAGGAGACCACGTGACCTCGAGGGTCACGTGACCTCAGAGGGGTCACGTGACCTTCAAAGGGTCACGTGGGATCATCTTGGGGTCACGTGACCTTGAGATGACCTTGGGAGGGGTCACGTGACCTCAAGGGGTCACATGACCTTGGGGGTCACGTGATCCCAAGATGACCCCACGTGACCCCCAGGGTCACGTGACCTTCAGGGGGTCACGTGGGGTCACGTGACCTTGAGATGACCTTGGGAGGGGTCACGTGACCTGGAGGGGTCACGTGACCTTGGGATGACTTTGGTTACGCCGACGCCGACGCCGACGCCGACGGCGACGGCGACGCCGACGCCGCTCAAGCCGGGAAAGGGCCCCTAAGAGCTGCGCTCTAAAAGGCAGAGATCGTGATAAAATTATGCAACACCCCCACCCCGCCGCCTTTCATCCCAGAAATGTTTGTGTTTTACATGAAGATTTGAGTGGTACCATTGCACACTGATACACTTATACAGGGGTGCTACTGTATGAGTGTTCGACACACCCTGAATAGGAAGCGCTGCTCGCATAGTGAAGGCATTTCGTTGTGTTTATATTTTAGGTAGCGGTTCCAGACGAGGTCCTCTTTGCCGTCCCTCACTTTTATAGCCGTAACCAAGAATATTGTGGTGCAGGGTGGAAGGTCGGGAGAATTCACAGCAGGAGTATTCCGTGTACCCGCGAGGAAGTCACCCTGACGTCTTCCTAGCGGGCAGGGGTTCAATCTCCACCTCCACCCGTTTCGATCTGAATGAGCATTGTACCCGCGTGAGGTCGTGTATCTCTACTGCGTGGTGCACGTTAAAGACCCCCGGGCTAGCGGTTGTTCTGCGCTGGCCACATTTCTCATCTACAGCCGGAAGTTAGTCAGCCATTAAGGCTGACCAAAGTCTGGCTGTATAAACCAATATACAACTCAATTATTATTATTATTACGCCATTAACGCCACCTTCTTGATGCTCAGCTATTGATTCTACTTCAAAATCTTGTTAACACAGAGGTTCGGGCGAGTTGGTTGCTCATGATGTACAGGGGGAACAGCGCTGAGTAAGTGTTTCTTTCTTTTGTGTGTATGTTGATTTGAATGACTGTTCTGCGGGTGCGCTGTTCCCCCTGTACTTCAAAATCTCTTCTGCTCAAAGTGCCCCCCGATGATTTTTTTCCCCCCCCAAAAAAAAAACAACTGAAGAGCCTGCTGCGTGGTGTGTTATAGACAATATAACTCTCAAGAAAAATTTGTTAACCTTTCGTGTTCGGATATTTAATATACGATTTATTTAGTTGTTCTGGACTGTTTTTTGTTTTGTTTTAATCCAGAACATCCATCGCCTTGGCCGTCACGTGTTCGTGTTAATTATTGGTTAATTATTAAGCTAAATATATATTTGTTTTGTATACACTCCGTTTTGAGTATGATTTCTATCGTGTAGTATTAAATAATTACGTCTTTAATCTTCACAAATGAATGTGGAGATTTGCGAGATCGATATCCTAGTTTTCTTATAATTTTGTGTACAATTTTGGAGGGAACTTTGAGCCTTTGTAAATGAAGGAGGAGTAATTATGAAAATTTGTTCCGTCCTCTAAGTTGCCGACAAGCATAATCCCCTCCAGGGCGTCCAAATTCGCCTATCCACGAGCATTGTTGTAATTAAGCGAGGGAGTTTGGATAATGACGATGGTGAAAATGTTCTTAGACTTAAAAGAGAGTAAAATTCGCGATGTGACACTGACCATAAACCATGCAGTCATCTGAAACGGCAGTGTCAGTATCACTTCGCAGACTTTATTTTGGATCTAAACTCAGTTTCGGCGCTGTGATTTGACGAGCTCCTTTGTATTGCAGTGAATGGCTCTCCAAGTGCCTTTTGGGGAAGTATATTCATAGGCAATTTTAGAGTATACTCTAAAATGCATATGAGTTTACTTCCTCACAAAGCACAAAGCATTTTCCAAATTCCCTCGCTTAATTACAGAAATAACTCTCCGAGTGTCCTGCAGAAAAATAGGCGCTCGAACATTTTTAATGGCAATGTAACGGAAGAAAACGCAGTTTTCAAGCTGTCTCAAGACGTGTACTGGGATGGACGTGGACGGCAGAAGAGAATTAGCCGCCTGCCAAACACTTGCACTTCCAACTAACTGAGCACCGTCGCACGCCTCGCGTGTCAACATGTTATGAGTCACCATAGCGGTTTTAATGCAGAGCTCATAGGGGGGGGGGGGGGGGGGGGGCTACTGTAACCTTTAGGTAAAGGTTTCCATATAATAACTAAGTAAAGGTTACATTGTAACTTTGAAGGGAGATGGTGGAAATTTTCAAAAAGATTTCCAGCTGCTATAGGTTACCCGATTAACACTGTACTCAGGGAAAGACCGCTATTTCTTAGCTCGTGTCATAAGAGAGTTTTCGTAGACTGCGTTTCCCCCTCCGCTAAGCCCTCCTCAACGAAGAAGCCGCTACTGCGCCTGCGCGCCGATGGCCTTGACTGTTGACTTCCGGGTAACTCAGCGGGCTGCGGAGAACATCGCGGGACTGCGAAAACGATCTACGAAAACTCCCTATTATCGGCAGTATACGCGCCTACACGCTCGATAGTCGTTTTTCCAACCTTACAGAACTTCGGACCAAGGCGACCATACACGAAAGTGAACGGTACCACGCAAAGCATGTCCACACGGCTTGTCGCGGCTTCAGGCTCGCCATATATGAACGTAGCAACTACTGCTTCGCAATTTTCTTAATACCATCACGCAAGCGTTGACCGGCCGGCCGGTCGGTATCACGGAGCGCTGCGGCAAGAACAGCGAGAGTGAGCGCAGCTTTGTGCTCACGCGCTAACTCTCACTCATATCACCGTAGTGCATGCTCTCTGATACGCCACTGACCGGTACGCTGGTCGACGCTCCCGTGATATTATATAAAAAAAAAAAGCGACGTTGCACGTACAGGAGGCAGGTATTTCCACCCAAAATGAACATGCGCGCACACGCTTCTCGTTTTTTAAATTCTTCGAGTTGAGCAATTCCCATAGCCGTGAGCGATCTGAGCGAAGGCATTCCCAAGTGGCACACAGAATGGGACACATGTAGGCCCCAGCCGGGCTGCCCGATTCGTGCTGTTTGAGTCGTCGCCCAGTCCGGGGTGGGAACCCAATTTCTTACGCTTCTAAAGTTGAAAAGAAACCTCTTAGTGTCTGTGCACCCTTTTAGTAGATAGCTCATTCTTTCAACACTTTCAAAAATAAAAGTATCATCGAAAAAAAAAAAAATACCCCGAGGGCAAACGGCCCCTGCTCCCGATGTGGAGTTTCGTTGTTTTAATGTTGTTTAGAATGATCGGGAGGAGGGTCTAGGTCGGGTGTGATAGCTAGTGTTTGAATACGCGATGAGCGTAGAACATTCGGGGAATTGAACGCTCGGAAGCAGGGAACAGCCAGCGCACTCACCTGCCTTGACCTGGCAGACGAGCGTGGCAATGTCGCCCTCAGCGTATGGCCCCGCCGTCTCGTTCAGGACGGCACCAGCGTCATCCCGAATCACCGGAGGTTCCAAAGGGCCTAAAAGTATCAATGGAAAGAAAAGAAAAAAGGAAAGAACCCATCAAATCACAGTTTAGTAGAAAAAAAAATTCAAGTTGCAAAAAAAAAAAAAAAAAACCCACTTAAAGCGATGTTGGAATATGTTTAGGGTCTCATGCTATGATTAAAAGTGATTCATTGCTCCGAAATACTACCCGGCCTGATCCGTAAATGAACTAAAAAAGTGCTTTTCTGTTTTGCGTTTTTGTTCTCTCGAAAATTTGGATTTGCGCAGAGCACGAAATCACCTTGCTCTTTCCTGAGATTATGTTTCATTTCGACACCAATCCGAAAGTCAAATATTTATCCAATCGTCTTAAGCGAAATGTAATCATTCCATTTTCACTGTTATTTTTTATTACAAAATATTGGATTACGGTCCCCAATATTAAAAAAATAAAAATAAAAATATCATTGCATGCATGATTAAAGCACTAAACGGCTTCAACCTTTCTGGCAAAAAAAGTACATTGGACTATTGTTTTTCGCATGGCCCTTACAACATTAACCCCGTTAAGAGAACACTAAATTGTGACGTCACAGCCGTCCTTGCCTAGTTGTAACAGCAGCACTTACGCTGGCCGCGCAAAGAATTGCGCTCTTTGCGATTCTGCATCACGCGCTTTAAGCTCATCATAGCGCGCGGTTTCGAAGGATTATTTCGGACAGATTGCGTTTTGCCGCAGGACAAAAGTTTGCAAAACGACGCCTGAAACGAGCACTGGCTCGTCGAGCGAGCAAATTATTACTAGTATTTCAAAAATACCACTTAAAACACCGGAGGCAACACTGAAAAACTCGTTATTAGGCGGAGTTGTCGTTTCAAGCTTCGCACCAGAATGCAAAATGTCCGACAAGAACAAAGCGCCACAAGCGCCGTTTTCTGTCGGTTACTTATTAAACAACGCTGCATGAGCTTTACGAACAGGATCCAATTCCTCCTGGTTTAATCCTTGGGGCACAGCGTGAAAGCACGCGGAATTCTTTAATTCTGTTTGATTATTCGAGATAATACACACGCTAACAGACGTTGATAAAAATTTGTCACTAATTTTTTTTTTCTCGAGAATGTTGCAACTACTTGTATAGGGGAAAGCACAATGACCTTCAGGAAACAGACAAAATTAAAAACACCCAATAACTGTGCCCCTCGTAGACAAATAAATGGAATTACTGATTTTGTTTTAAAGTGGAGTTGTACAACTTTCACATAATCGACCACCGAAAATAGACAGGTCAAAATAGGATGCAAGAAAACACTTGCAGATGGATTTGACGGCTTGCAAGTAGGCACGCCTCTCACATTTTTTTAAACAATGTAAAACAGTTATAGTTTTGGGATACAAAAACCTGCATGAAACATGCATTTCCTACTTTGTGGGAAGTCAGGCGGATTCGATATCCGAGGGAATAAGTCCTAAGCAAAAAAAGACGATGAAACCCAACACCAATTTTGCTCAAGCGGAAACATTTCTCTTTGGAAAACAAGGCAACAGAAGAACGATCACAAGAATAAATTACTTCTTCCTTTTTCCATGTTCACGTGAAAATAATTTTTTTTAAATTTATTTTCACTTCGTAATATCTTATGATTGAAAACATGTTTATCTCTCAAGCTTCGTGTGGTAGCCCTTCATTATTTTATGCACTGATCCCAAACAACCATCCGCACATTAAAAAAAAGAACAAAAAAACTTGTTTTTTTTTTTCTTCTTCTACAATGACAGCTGTCAGTGGTCCGTTCCCCGGTTTTTCGGCGGCGTGAGCGTAAACGAAAAGTTTCTCCGATAAATTTGGCGGGAAAATTAATGTCACGTGACCTGACATCCTGGGACCTAAAGACAAATTAGGTTCTACGCTAAAATTAGCGGAAAAATTGACGTCACGTGATCTATACACCAATTCAGTTTCCCCGTTATATTTGGCGGAAAAACACATCCCGATCATAAAATCATTTCTTCATCAACAAGGTAGCGACGCTAAATCAACGCAACGTCATTTCAATATCAGATCAGCGTATGACGCACGATCGACGCAATGTCAGTCGATCGTCACCGTCATATCGCCAAATAGGCAGCGCAGCTGTCGCGTTCTAAACGCATCACGTCGTGTGATCGTCGCCCTATTTTTTTAATAGACAAATAAATACATTTTAGATAACTTACGAGGTGTGGCTATTAAATAAACAGACTCAACCAATTTATTCCAGAAATTTCGTAATTGCAATATTGTCTCCTTCTATGTAATCCCCTCTTCCTATACCTACACCACTCCATCCAAACCTTCCACAGCTGAAAGCAGTGCTGTAGGCAGTGTTTTAGGCATTACCGAGAAAAAGTAGCGAAATACGTTACTCGTTATTTGCAAAATAAAGGAACGCGTTACCGACCTACGTTACATCAAAGAAACTCATTACCGTTAACGTTACCGATAAAAAGTAACGCACGTTACTTTTGCGTTACTTTTTATCCATATACTAACGATAGTAAGCTTCTTTTGGCGACAGCCTTTTTCGACACTGGGACGAAGGGCGTGGGCGTTGGAATTTTCCCAAAGTGGGACTTTTTTCGCGGGGAAAAGACGGACAAAATTTTGAAGGCATGTGGAATGAGTGCAATAATTAATCACTCGACGCCTATATTTCGTTTCAGCGTAAGTCCAGACGCAGCTGTACTTTACAGCTTTTTATCTCGACCTCCGCCATCAGTGTTGATGGGAAATAAACTTACTTACTTGCACTGCAAGCTAATGGGACCTTCCAAGCAGCCTCAAAATCCCAAGCCACTAGGCTTTTTCTGTGTATGTATGATTGATTCAAGCGATGACAGAACACGTACAGACACACGAGGAACACCGTGATGGTGCTCTTTTGACGTTGTCAGATAGGCGCCATCAGCTCGTAGCGTCGGCTGTTTCTAGACTTAAGGTAAAACGAAATATAAAAACAAGAAAACCATTTAAGTGTACTTTTTTTTTTCAGGCTTTGGGAAGAAGGTGTAATGAGTAAAGTAACTACGTTCCCCGCTACTTGAAATAAGTAATGTAAGTACGCTACCTGTTACTATTAAAAAAAAATTTAACGAGTATGTTACTACATTACAGAAAAAAGTGACGCGTTACCGCCACCATGGCTGTATAGGTCATCGAGTGATAAGCCCTTCATGAGCTGCGTCGCTTTTTCCTTCGCAGCATCGAGTCAAACCTCGTGCCTTTCAACCCAGACTTTTATCTTGAGGAATCGGCAAAAGTCAGATTGGGCTAGATCAGGTGATGAGGGCGGGTGTTCCAACACGGTGATGCTACGCTGAGCCAGGAACGACATGGCTTAACATCTGGAGGAAACATTCATGGATCCTTCATCGAGGCAATGCGTCGGCACGCATAACCTAGTGGGTCGCGTCGTTCCTGGTTCAGCATAGCACCAGCATCCGCCCTACTCACCCGACCTGACCCCATCTGGATTTTTCCTGTTCCCCAATATTAAGTCTCGGTTCAAATGAACGAGGTTTGACTTTGTTGATGCTGTGAAGGCAAAAAGCGACGGAGCTCCTCAAGGGCTCATCGCTCGATGGTCTACAGCACCACTTTCACTAATGGAAGACTCGCATGGAGCGGTGTAGGGACAGGGAAGGGAAGTCTATTACAATTCTAAATTTTTTTTTAACATTTGTTTTTGAAAGATGAGTTTAGGTATTTATTAGTCACGCGTATAGCTCAGTTGTAAAACTGCTTTAGGGGACACGTTAGAAATAAGCATCGTGGTTGTGACAATACTAATAAATAAATGATAAAATATAAAATACAAAATATAATTATATAAAACAAAGTAAAAATATAAGCTGGATTGCAGGTTTCTTATTTAATAGTACGCTTATTACTCGATAATCTTTGCAAACAAATCTCACGTGACGGCCAAAGATTGATAAAGATGAAAGATTTCCAGAAATTTGTTTTTACCCTTTTTATTAACGTGCTTAATATTTTAATCCAGAAAGCGTCCGTAAGGATATCGTTGGGCCGTCACGTTAACAATATTCGACGAAAGTTTGTTACTACTAATTAAGTTGCGGGCAGATACGAACTTGAAAATATATACTCGTCTGCTTGATAATCAAGTTACTTTTCTGAATCCGCAATTATTTGTAGCTTACCTTTTTTTCTTTTTTTTCTTCCCTTTTTATTTCTTTCCTTCTTACTTTGAATTTTCAACGGAATTGACAGGTAGGGAGCAGCGACAAAAGGCATTCCATCCTAACGGAGTCCCTATTAACAAACAAGTCAAGGCAAAAAACAAAAAACAATAAAACAGCAACACATACAACAGTAGAATGGGCTGGATGAATTCTTCCATGTCGAGCCCAGATTTTGGGAATCTTTGAGAATTAGGAATTTTCAATTATTGGGCCATAAATTCATATACTTGGCATCAACGTTACTGTGTGACGCATTAAGGCTGGCGTAGTTTCTACAGTGCTGCCTTCTTCGCAAGGGAACACGTGTAAAATAAGACGCATAACAACGCGACGAGCTCACGCAGTAGTGCGGAAGGGAGGATGGGGGAGGGGGGGAGGAACTGTACTGTGAAAAATACGCTAACCCTGACAGCGTTGCAAAGAAAAGTTGACGCCGAGTAAAGGACCTTTCTGTACTCCTCCCAAGTAATATTTTTTATCCCACAGATGTGAAATACGTCACGTCGATAGGCGTCAAACAGCGAATAAAAACTTGTGAAAAAAAAAATGTATATACCCTGGATCAGAGATTAAGGGGTCCCGGCGTCATTTTTTTCGCTGGTAGAGCAGTCACGAGTTTTTAATTCCGGCGGACTGCCATTGTTTTGTTTTTTTTTCTTTTAGAGCGCAGCTCTTAGGGGCCCGTTTCCAGCCTGAGCGGCGTCGGCGTCGCCGTCGGCGTAACCGGGGGGGGGGGGGGGGGGGGGGTCACGTGACCCCCGAGGTCACGCGACCCCCCCCCCCCCC